TAAAATTAGGGGGAAAAGAGGAGTGGTGCACTTAGGAGTCTGTAGAACAAAAAACTTTGTCCTTGGAGGCAAAGAGGGGAATGTATGAGAGTATAGTTTTACCAACGCTCTTATATGGGTGTGAAGCATGGGTGGATGAATGTTGCAGCGAGGAGAAGGCTGGAGGCAGTGGAGATGTCATGTCTGAGGGCAATGTGTGGTGTGAATATAATGCAGAGAATTCGTAGTTTGGAAGTTAGGAGGAGGTGCGGGATTACCAAAACTGTTGTCCAGAGGGCTGAGGAAGGGTTGTTGAGGTGGTTCGGACATGTAGAGAGAATGGAGCGAAACAGATGACTTCAAGAGTGTATCAGTCTGTAGTGGAAGGAAGGCGGGGTAGGGGTCGCGCCTAGGAAAGGTTGGAGAGAGGGGGTAAAGGAGGTTTTGTGTGCGAGGGGCTTGGACTTCCAGCAGGTATGCGTGAGCGTGTTTGATAGGAGTGAATGGAGACAAATGGTTTTTAATACTTGACGTGCTGTTGGAGTGTGAGCAAAGTAACATTTATGAAGGGGTTCAGGGAAACCGGCAGGCCGGACTTGAGTCCTGGAGATGGGAAGTACAGTGCCTGCACTCTGAAGGAGGGGTGTTAATGTTGCAGTTTAAAAACTGTAGTGTAAAGCACCCTTCTGGCAAGACAGTGATGGAGTGAATGATGGTGAAAGTTTTTCTTTTTTGGGCCACCCTGCCTTGGTGGGAATCGGCCAGTGTGATAATAATAAAAAAAAAAAACATCATTGTTCAGGGGAGAGAGAGAGAGAACAACAGCAACCTGATGGGAATGATAGGAATCATTACAATAATGGTACACAATTCCTACAAGATGAGGAATGAGACACCTGGGTATCTTTATTTCATATATACTCAGGTATTGTACATGTGTCTAATTCCTCATCAGTGATGATATTTAGAAGAGACGACAACATTTGTGTTAGGAATGATAGGAATGAAGATTAAGAATAGTGAAGGAGGAGGTAGGCAGATAACGAAGAGTGTATCTTGTAGTGCTTAAGAAAAGTGGTGTGTGGAGTGTGAGTATCTTCTGGTGCTGCAGGAAGGAAATAATCGTTATGAAAGTAGGACATAGAGAACAAATGAAACTAAATGTGTTTGTCTTGTTAGGAACTCAGGTGTTAGAGAATGATGACGTGAGTGAGCTATTCCGAGGCAGAGACAAGCGACATCTTGGTACTATGTCAGGTAACTGCAATAACTCAATTTTCCATGAAAAATTAAATACCAGATATTTACAGCTGAGAGATTCTATGGCAAACTTGGCAGTTCAACTGAAGAGACGTTGCTAAATTTACTCAGACTATAAAGCTATTGATGTCAGGGGGAGAGAGTTGACGTGTGAAGAGACTGGACAAATATATGAGTGGGAGGGGCTGGGTTTGATTGGTGTCAAGGGGTACGGGAGTTATTTCTTGAGTAGCTTTAGGTAGATGTCGTTTTGATAAGGACCTGCCTCGTATGGGCCAGTAGGCCTTCTGCAGTGTTCCTACATTCTTATGTTCTTATGTTAGTGGGATGAATTGTAAAGGACCTGCCTAGAATGGGTCAACAGGCCTTCTGGAGTGTTCCTCCTTTCTTATGTTCTTATGTTCTTATGAAAAGACTTGTAATGATGTTTGGTTGTTCAAGAGACAGACATGAGAAATGGAGGTTGCAGGAATATAATGGAATAGACTGTTACAAAAAAATATTTTAGAATGGATGAGTGTTAGGGAAAAATCAAGAATGGAAGAGATTGGGGTAAAAAAATTAGAATGGAAGAGACTGATAAGAAAAATCTAGAATGAAAGAGGTTGTTAGGAGCAGGTAGGAGACGAGGAAGAAAAATTTGAAGAGAATAATATAAGAGGGAAGAACCTGTGTTTAGAGCAGACACAGTCTTATACAGTGGAAGTAATATACAAAGTAAAAGAATTAAGGGCACGTGTGTGCTCAGAAATATTAATAATAACACTTAGGAAACAGTAGATGAATGTTGATACCATCAAGTATAAAAAGGCACAATACCCTGACTGGAACAATATACACACATGTGATGAATGGTTTGAAAAACCGACAAGTTGAAGATTGAGACACTTATGCAGCATATGGGACTGAACACATCGACTCCAGGCTGAGGGACTGATTACCTCATACTCCTCCTCTCCTTACGCCTTCCTCTTTGTATTGGACTGATGAAGCCACTGTGTGGCGAAACGTTTCCTGAATAAAGATTCCCATATGCTGCATAAGTGTCTCAATCTTCAATATACACACAAAAGAAAAAACTCGCACATAGGCTAAAGAAACTTAGGACGACGTTTCGGTGTGACTAGTTAATGGTCCAAGCCGGTTCGAAACGTTGTCACTAGTTTGTTTCTCCTGTGTGCGGGTTGTTTGTATAATGTTGATACCTTCAGGATGCTGAGTGACATGTCAGAGGGCATAAACAAGGGAGACATTAATAAAGTACTGAGGGTGTCGAACCAGGTAAGAACCAGGAATAATGGATTTAAGTTGGATAAATTTAGATTTAGAAAGGACATAGGTAAGTACTTCAAATTACCGTCCAATAAGCCTGACATCTATAGTGGGCAAGTTATTAGAATATGTGGGAAATTATTAGGGTGTGCTATGCTAGGGAGAATTGTAAGATATCTGATAATATATTATAACAGGCAAGGCAAGTACTGAAATGTTATCCGAATTTTTATTCTAAACGAGGCAGTGTGAACATGCGAAGGCACTGACCCGCTAGGTGGCACTGACCTGCTAGGTGGCACTGAAATGCTGAGTGACACTGACCTAGGAGATGGCACTAACCTGCGAGGTTGCAGGGGTAATGCAGGCAGCGAGGGCCACCAAGGTGAGGAGGAGTGCCTTAACACAGGTGGCATCCACGTGGCAAGGCATCTGTAAACAAAGGCACTGTGTTACCCAGGAAGGCCAGGTATGGTACTTAGTACCCATCTCAGGTATGGTACCTAGTACCCATCTCAGGTATGGTACCTAGTACCCATCTCAGGTATGGTACTTAGTACTCATCTCATGTATGGTACCTAATACCCATCTCAGGTATGGTACCTAGTATTCATCTCAGGTATGGTACCTAGTACCCATCTCAGGTATGGTACCTAGTACCTATCTTAGGTATGGTACCTAGTACCCATCTCAGGCATGGTACCTAGTATCCATCTTAGGTATGGTACCTAGTACCTGTCTCAGGTATGGTACCTAGTACCTATGTGATAAATAGTTTGAAAACCGACAAGATGAAGACTGAGACACTTATGCAACATATGGGAATCTTTATTAAGGAAAGGTTTCGCCACACAGTGGCTTCATCAGTCCAATACAAAACAGAAAGGTGTAAGACGCTGCAACATCATGGGATCTTGATACAAGGAATTCTTCAACACTTGTCCAACCTTTGGACGAAGACCTACTTACACTAGTGGATGGTTCCACTGTGATCCCGCCTCCTGCTTCCACTCACCTGACTACAGTACATAAGCCACTTCTCCGGCCATGTGCTGTACTTTCTATAAGACTGATGGACTGAACACATCGATTCCAGACTGAGGGACTGATTACTTCAAACTACAGTACTCTTCTTACCCCTTTGTTTTGTATTGGACTGATGAAGTCACTGTGTGGCGAAACGTTTCCTTAATAAAGAGTCCCATATGTTGCATAAGTGCCTCAGTCTTCATCTAGTACCTATGTCAGGTATGATATCTAGTACCCATCTCAGGTATGGTACATAGCACCCATCTCAGATATGGTACCTAGTACCCATCTCAGGTATGGTACCTAGTACTCATTTCAGGTATAGTACCTAGTACCATCTCAGGTATGGTACCTAGTACTCATTTCAGGCATGGTACCTGGTACCCCTCTCAGGTATGATAACTAGCACCCATCTCAGATATAGTACCTAGTTCCCATCTCAGGTATGGTACCTGGTACCCATCTCAGGTATGGTACCTGGTACCCTCTCAGGTATGGTACCTAGTACCATCTCAGGTATGGTACCTGGTACCCATCTCAGGTATGGTACCTAGTACCATCTCAGGTATGGTACCTAATACTCATTTCACGCATGGTACCTGGTACCCATCTCAGGTATGATACCTAGTACCCATCTCAGATATGGTACCTAGTTCCCATCTCAAGTATGGTACCTGGTACCCATCTCTGGCATGATACCTAGTACTCATCTCAGGTATGGTACCTGGTGCCCATCTCAGGTATGGTACCTGGTACCCATCTTAGGTATGGTACCTGGCACGCATCTCGGGTGTGGCACAGTGTACCCAGAACAGAATGTAATCTTTCCTTCTATTATCTAGTTTCCACTTTTTATTTAAGGGTGTTCGTAGTCTACTTTAAGTATACAGCAATTTTCATTATATCTGTGCACCCTTCACTTAAGTGTGACACGAGGATCTTGAAGAGGCTTGAGAGTGCTACCTGAGCCGTTGGTTTATTGTGCACCTGCAGCTCATGCTGTGAACGTTACTCAATAAACCGGATTACAGGGCACTGAACAGTGTTACAGTTTAAAAGATATTACAGTCTTTTTTTCCACACTGTTTATTAATTTATGGGTTTTAAACCCTGCGCACCAAGTTAGGAAAGATACAATCCCGAGAAAATACAAGAAATTAGAAATTCCACTGACAAAAATTGGTGCTATCATCGTGATGTTTGTTAGTAGGGGGGGCCCGATGAAAAAATATTAAACCCAACTTGTGAAAAAAAAACGAATGAATTTTCCCAGTTCTGAAGAAACATGGGTGTTTTTCGGGGCCACGGGTCAATTTATAAAAATTTAAAACCATTATTTAAAAAAATGTTTTTGCCCCCTGGAGGAAAAGAGGCTTAAGGCCCCTTAGTCCCCCCCTGTGGAAGCGACGCTGTGTTTCATTTGATTTTCCCCCTGCTGATAAAACGACCAAACACTTTTTCCCGGGGTAACTGTTGCTTGTCTGCTGGGACCCCCTTTTTGGAATATACCCCCAGACAAGGCTTCAGGAAGATCACTGTGAGATGGGCGCCCTGCTTTGCTCACACCGTTTTACAGAAGCCTTCTTTTCCCAGCAAACCCAGTCATACTCGCCAACATGTTAATGCTAAAATTGCAGAAAATATCTACCTAAAGAGACTAAAAACTTACTTTCAATACTGAAAAAAACCTATTTAAATTCATTTTGGAACGGAGCCACAAATTTCCACTTAACATAACGCTAAACGGATCCAAACCCCTCACAAAACTCACAGAGGGGAAAAATTTAAATTTGGAAAACCACCTTGACAGTAGCCTCAAATTCCAGAAAACAAACAACACATTTAAAAAGAAAATCTCTAAGACAGTAAATACTTTTTCAAAAAAATACTGTACTATGTTCCACATCAGCTCTCCTGGCCTGTAAACATTTCACCCATTTTAACCCCTTTTCTCACATATGGGAAATTTGGGGCATAAAGGGGTCAACAACATTAAACAAAAAAACCACAAAAAAATAAACAAAAGGGACAGTCAGAATGATTTAAAAAATTTTCCCCGTCCAGACATCAAACCCACCAAAATCAGAAGTCCCAAAACTGCTCACCATGAAAACATCCATTCTTATTCAAAGTGCCTACTACATACATAGAACACAAAACTCAAAAAATAAACCCCCCTCCCCCAAAACTTCTCCTCACCAACCTAAAAAGGACACAACGAAACCCTAACACAAGACACAGATCCCCTTTTTGAAATAACCCGTGTTTCCCTTATCCCACTGTGTAAAAAAATCTATGCAAAATAAAAGGGGGGCCCCCAAAATTTTTGGAAATTTATTACCATAAAAAATTAAAGTAACCCGGTCAGAACACAAAATTTTAAACTTTTCAAAAAACCCTCTATCACCTTTTAAATAAATTTCTCAATAAATTAAATTTGCCCAAAAAATTTCCCCAAATTCCTAAATCTTAACACTTCAAAATTTACATCCCAAAGTTTCATACATTACTTAATACTACTAGATTGTATTAATAAATCCCTGCCCTAAACTATACTGCCTTACACCTAATTGTAGTATTCTCATACTGTAAAACTACTTTCACCAACGCTCAATATTATATTCCCATAATATAATATAAATATTTACTATTGATATACACAACCTACAAAATACTCTCAACTTGTCCCAATGTAATATCCCCAGATTGTAATTTGAGTAAACTTACTGTCTGCTATAAATAAAAACGGATGTATAATTTAAACAAACTATGATCAATTTCTCTAGTATTAAGTTGTCTGTAAGACATTAAATTAAGTCCGCCCTTAATGCCATGGCATGTATTGTATTGTATCTGACCTGTTGGTGCCAGTCACCCAGCATGCCAGAGTCCAATACCGTGTGTTTGTGCCCTGTACCCAGGGCACAAGGCGCTCTGTCTTGACAGTGGAAGGTGGGTTAAGTTGACGTTTCTGTGGCTTGCCATGGCAACAGCGACTGTGGTTGATGTTCCTATAGCTTGCCAGGGTAGCAGCTGGCTTACCTAGCGACGTGCTAAGGTGTCAAGGCGGGTCAGGTGTGGAGGCCACACGGGGTCACGCAAGCGGAAGGATGAGCATCGAAGCGACAATATCACAGCATCACGAAGATCAATATCATGAGATGAAAAATGTCGACTTCCTGAGGATAAAAGTCTACCCACGTCACCAAAGGTCAGCCTCACTAAAGGTCAACCTCAGTAGAGATCAACTTCACTACAGGTCAACCTCACTACAGGTCAACCTCACTACAGGTCAACCTTAGTACAGGTTAACCTCACTACAGATCACCCTCACTACAGGTCAACTTTACCACAGGTCAACCTAGTTACAGGTCTACGTTTCTACAGGTCAACACTGGTTGATAAAGAAAGTTGAGGAATGTTTGCAGGTGGAGTGACGTTGAAGGTAGTCTGCCACAGCGGGTTGATGAAGCAATAAGAAGGCAACAGCCTCGCCAGCTTCATTGAAAACGTCAAACTAGAATGACCTCTGAGTGTGTAGCTCCGTGGGCGGTGTTGTCCACCTGGATACAGCACTGTGGGCGGCCTAGCCCACTCAGGTGAAGCTCTGAGGGCGGCACTGTCCACTCAGGCGAGTGTGAATCTTGTTCTACTGGAAGACAGAGTTACTGTGGTGGTGGTAGTGATGGTGTTCTGGTGGTGGGTAGTAGATGGTGGTGATGTTAATGGTGGTGGTCGTCTTGAAGTTCGAGCTGAACGAAAATGTATAAGTAGAGGGGGTTATTTAGGTTGAAATAGTTGCCTCACGGCTGGTTGGATTTTCTTCATTTAGTTGTCATCGTCTGCCCAGGTGGATGAACAGTCTCACTTAACTGAACTATTAAGACTCAGGAATAAGTTCGCCTTAGTCCAGCAGATAATGGAACCGACCATTATACATTTTATTAATTCAAATTGCATTTATTGGGATATGAGAAATGTTTACAGAATTATTTGCAGAGTTGCAAATACGTGGGCATGATGACGGGTATTCCTTGGTTAGCTTTCAAAATAGGTTGAACAAATGTGAAGGTGAGGTTGGATTTGAGTAAAAGCTGCTTGGTGTGGGCTAGTATGCCTTCTACAGAATAACTTTATCGCTTATATGTGTGTATGTGTAATAAGGCATTCAATGCAATGTTTGATGTAGCACTAGTAAGGAAGTTATCACTAGGCAGAGCAAATATACTGAGAGATGAAGCAGTGATCTTGGCCACATTATACGTGAGATTAGCGCCGTGAGGTGCCCACACCCACCCACCATCCATATTACGGTGTGTGTGTGTGTGTGTGTTTGATCATTGAGGGTGGCGGTGGTGGTAAAGCAGGTGTAGTAATGGTGGTGCAACAGCTACACCACCACC